TGCTAGTTCAAACTGGCTGTGGCATATCTTGGACCCGTATAATTTCCTTTACCTGTGGGACCTGTTGACTGACAAATATTATGAAAACAGTTTGAAGTTGTGGAAACAAAGGGGCTGGTGTTTAATGTTAGTGTGTATGGGCAGGGAGAGGGAGTGTCAGAAGTGGATGCACGAAATGACCCGGTTTTTGCCCTTCGGGAGAAGCTGTTGTTTTAATTTCTTTAGCATTTTCAGTTCTGCTGTGATGGGCAGCTGTGCACAATTCTAAAGTGAACGTGTTACAGTGTCAAAATAAGAAGTGAAGGAAATAGAGGTGGTTGCCTTGTCTGTATTGTAGACTTCTCTCCAGGAATGAAGTAGACCTTGGCTGTAACATTTAAAAGATAAATTTTAGAAATTAAGGAGCTCCCCTGATTCGAAAATCAGCAAAGGTCTAGCTTGTTCGTTACATGTGATCTCTGCCCAGGCTATAAACTCATGGTGAGGGCGAAGTTGTGCGTCAGATCTGAGACTTTACTGCACTGTGAGTCTAGAGAGAATTCTCTTTGCACTGGGCTAGGGCACCCTCACCAATCTGTAACTGTCCAGCAGTATCACAGGCTGACAGCTATGTATAATGTGGGGCATTCTGACCTGTGAGCAAAGTGGCAAAAGAACAGACTTGTGGTTAAGACACATGACTGCGAGTCAGGAAACATGGGTTCTGTTCCTGCTGCCGACGTCTCATGTGACCTTGGAGAAGTCTCTGGGCCTCAGTTTCCCCATCTGTACAACACCTCCCTTTTGCACAGGGCTGTGGGGGCGGAACATCTAGTGTCGTATATCTTTGCAGCAACCTTTTCAGAGAGGGGTTAGCATAGAGTGCTATGAGCACTAATTATTAGGTTCAAAAGGACCCTATGGATGAAGACATGTCAGTCAAATGAAATATGAGTGGGCCCTCCTTTAGGGATTCATTCTGGCCTCAGGGCCCTGCTTGTCTTTTCAAGGCCTAGTACTTACTTGCTTTGCTTATGTGGAATAAGTTAGTAAGGCTGGGATAGGCAATAAAACAGTCATCACTGGCCTCTGAGGTGTTTGAGATGGTGATATACTTGAGAAGCTTGGGAATGTCGTGATTAGCATGAACCTATCGGATAGAGCATAATCCAGGTGGGGAAATACAAATGGAAGCTTGCCTGTCTCTTACAATAGAGTGTGTTTCTTCCCATCTCCCCAAGTGTGCCAAAATTCAAGTGAAGGCAACAGTTCTATGCAAGCAGGTTTGCTAATTGCTGAGTGTTTCATTGCAATGAGTTTTGACATCCGGATGCTGTTTGTGGCCATGACACGAGTTTGTGTTTGGGCAGAAATTCTCATGCCACGGGTTCCAATGTCTCTCTGCATCTGGAAAATGTCATTCATCTTCTTTGGTCAAGGGATAAAAAAATAATAAAAGCCCCAAAACCTAGATAACAAGATACAATGCTTTTTTCAGAGACCTTCTAATAGATGCAATGGAGAATTAGGTCACTCAGCTAGCTACAGGCTGTGGTAATATCTGTGTGCTTGAGGAGCAATGGAAGATATGAAAGACAGAAGAGGCTTGTCTATTTTGATCCTGTTTACTATGCAATTTAAATTACACTTCTCCTCTGATAGCTTTAGATTTCCTAACCAGAGTGTAGCGCTGTCAGGTTTCTCTACACTGATACCTTGTTATGGTAAGGAAATGATAGATGAGTATTTTTATGCAGTTCTTTGCAGAAAGACATGAGCTAGTCAGCAGCCGGTAATATGTTTAATCTCTCTCTGCGCAGAGGTGTAAAAATATCAGCTGAGATTTAAAAAAAAAATCTACTTGACATTTCAATATACCCTAAAGCCTCCCTATTTCTCGGCTAATCCCCAGCTTTGATTGTTCTTTCTGAAAACCCTCCTCATTCTTGGGGGTGGGGGGGAAGTGATGTCTCCTGTTACTACAAATAATAGCAGTAAGTTTTAGTATGGTAGTACTCAGAGGCTCCAGCTGAGCTCAGGGCCCCATTGAGCCTAGCGCTGCACAGATACTCAGTAACTGACATGAGGGGGCTGTCGTGCCAGCCGCTGCACACACACAGAGTAAGAAACAGTCCCTGTCCTGAAGAGTTTACAGTCTAAATAGACAAAAGGCGGAAGGAGAGGAAGAAGATTATCCCCTCTTTGCAGATGGGGAAACTGAGGTGCAGAGCAATTTAAGTGACTTTCCTAGAACCCAGATCTCCTGAGTCCCAATCTAGTGCCTTAGCCGCAAGACCAACTTTCCTCCTCACAGTTACAAAGTGCTATGAAGAATTATCCCCACTTTCCCCTGTGAAATAGATAGGTTAGCAACATGGTGTCTTACCCATTCCATTCATCTTCCCCAGTGTTGAGCGTGTGTTTTGAATGCTAGACCATGGACAGAGTGCGTTTCACATGTCTGCCTCCAAGGGCGTTTTCGTCAGCAGATGCCCAAAGAACTCTTGAATTGGTGCTAAAACTTCCTCGTTGCAATCTGTCTGTGCCCCCTGCGTCTGTCCTTGGAGGTGCTGCTTGGGGTGACCCTGGAGCTGCTGCCTTTTGGCTGGTGATACTTGTGGGAGAAGCATGGGGCCTCCGTAAGGTGAGCTAGGCATTCCTGTTCTCCCGTCCCTTGGAGGTTCTGCTGAAGGACAGTTCCCCACCTTTCCATGTTGCTAGAGTCTTGAAGGCAGGTGGCACTCTATAAACCTACCTTCCAGTGCTGCAGGGGAGGGGAGGGCTGGGACGCTGACTCGCAAAGAATAGGACTTCACTTTTCCTTTCTCCTTCCCCCCCGCTGCCTGGCATCATTGCCTGTGCTGTTCACCGACCGGCCTGCTCCTCCGCGCTGGGTAGCAGAGAGGACCTAGCAGTGGTGCCAAGGCCTTATTTAACACAAGGATTTTTAGCCAGTGGTGTATCACATTGTGTTCTCTGCCTCGGGCCTGATTCTCCCTTGCTCTGCACCGTGTGCAATCACTGACACCAGTGCAGGTTTCGGTATCGGGTATTTATTTTTCGGCGCTGTAAAAATGCAAGGGGTGGTCAAAAAGGAATATTCTTCCCTGATGCACAATTGACTTCATCAACGATGGGCTACAGCTGGAGATGGGACACTGGATGGGGTGGGCCAGTGCTCTGAGGTGGTACCGCGAATCCTTTTTCTTAGACGCCTGGCTGATGGTTCTTGCTCACATATTCAGGTTTGGAAGGAATGTCCTCCCCATGGCACGTTCCACCGAATCAGTTCCCTGCCCTTGGTGGCACCTTGGTCTCTCCCGTTCTCTGCCCGTGGCGCACAGTTTAGTCTCCTGAGAGCTGAAATGTTTTGGTTTAGTCTTTGGGCTTAATATTGGGGTGTCTGGGTGAGATGTGTTATACAGGAGACCAGACTAGATGATCTAATCCAGGGGTCAGCAACTTTCGGCATGCAGCCCATCAGGGTAATCTGCTGGCGGGCCACAAGACATTTTGTTTACGTTGACCGTCTGCAGGTACGGCCCCCCCGCAGCTCCCAGTAACCCCGATTCACCGTTCCCAACCCCTGATCTAATCGGTCTCTTCCGACCTTAAACTCGCATGAACCTATAAAAAAGCAGCATGTGTCTTCGGTTCTACGTGCTCCATGATGCATGGTTTGCTCTAGGAAGCCTCCTTCGCCCCATCGTTAATGTAAATCATCACCTGGCTGCTAGAACCGTATTTCCCGTCTTTATGGTCTCCACTGGAGTCGTCTCTGTTACCAAAAGCAAATGGACCTGGCAGGAGTGTTTCAGACTACGGCAGAAGGAACAAATTCAAAACTAAACGGCCCTCACAGAGAAAGTTCCACCAACTGCACCATCTCTCTGATGGGAGTGGGGAGTGCCCTGCTCTGATTGCATCTGTGGCAGTAGGACCTGGGGAGAAGGAGATTGTTGGTAAATAGGTCCCTGGCCATGTACCCAAATCTGCCTCGCTGCTGAATCAGTGTGGTGTAGTGGTTTATACAGACTGTACGCTGAGCGAACGCGGCCCGTACGATACACGCACTGCATTAATGTAAGACTTCGTTTACATCTTCACTAGGGATTGGCATTAGCATAACTACACCGGTGACTAAAAGCCAGGCCATAGACAGAGCTTCAGTGGTGGGGCATAACCTAAATGCTGACCTGGTGAAGGGGTCCCCTTGTTCTAGAGATCAAACAGAACACAGAGAGGGGTGGAAGTGTGGGGAGCCGGCACAAAAAGCTGCTTTCTCCCGGCCTGACGGACTCTGCTGGCTGCAGAGAGGAGCTGGTAGGATGAATGCAGGATGGGCGTTCTTCCATAATAACTGTTTGTTTGGGGCTGCACATAAACAAGCCTCTGTGTGTGGCTCATGGAGTGCGGCCCGTTTGTGCCGAGCGCGTCGGTGACGTCGTCGGGCTGCTATTCGTGTGCGTCTTTGCCTGCCGCAAAAATAAGTCTGCTGCATTTGCTTGAGACTCACGTGAAGTCGCGCTGCCGCTGGGCCTGCAAATTAACGCTGCCTGCAGGCTGGGTGTGAGATAATGCGCGTTACCTTTGCAAGGCTAAAAAAGAAAAAAGAAAAGAAAAGTTGGGCAGGAGAAAAGGGGATGCCAGAAGCCTGAGCGGCAGCGTGGCCCAGTGGGATAGCACATTGAACTGGGCCTCAGTAGTCCTGGGTTCTAATCCTAGTCCTAGCTCTGCCAGTGACCTTGGGCAAATCACTTTCCTGCTCTTTGCCTCAGTTTCCCCTCCCTTTCTGTTTTGTTTGCTTAGGCTGTAAGCTCTTCGCAGCAGGAACTGTCTTGGGGTACAGTGCCTGACATAGTGGGGCTCCACGCTCAGTGCAGACCTCTCTAGGCACTGCGGTAAATAGCTCGGAATACTACCCTGGCTTGAGATGGTGGGTCTGTGACCTCCCTTGATCAGACTGCTTCCGAAGATTCAAGTCCTCTCCAGTCCCCTGCTGGGTATGTGCCGTGTATATATATAGCTATGCTACCGTTTCTGTGAATTACCCTTTCAAATTGCTGAGGATTGCGCTGTGGGCAGACAATAGCAGCGATTTTGACTCTTGTTGGGTGCAGACTTTTCAAGTAGACACCCTCCCACGCTGGGCTCTCTATGTCGATACTAGCTAGCGTGGCTAAAACTAGCAGTGAAGACACAGCGGCATGGACCACCGTGCGAGCTAGCAATGCAACCGCATACCCAGGGTCCCTGGCGGGCTTGTTCCAGCCCGCACTGAAGCCTGTGTCACTGCGTCTTCACTACTAGTTTTAGCTGCAGTCACACCTCCGATTGCAGTGTAGACATAACCTCTGTCTTTCCTTGTTGTTCTCCCAGACCGACGTTCTGTCATTCAGCCCCACGGTGTCTGTCCGCTCATGGTGTACGAAGAAACTCTGGTTTAGTTTGGCAGGTTGCTGGCCAAGGCTCTGTGAGCCACCTGGCATGCTGGGTTAGGATCTCTTCTACTCCCCCCCCACCCCCGGCAACTTGTTTTTGTGGCTGTCTCTCCAAAGTTGCCCTTGCCTGTCGGCTTCCCCTTCCCCTCTCAGTTTTGAACCCAAAAGATGAACTCAGCGCCTGAGATAAGCCTCGTGTTCTGTTAGTATGAATGAGTCAGTTCCTCATCATCCGATTCTGCCTTCACTACAGGTCTGCACCATTGGCATTTTCTATTTACAGTTGCAGAAGTAGCTCAAAAGTGAACTTTTTTCCTTTTCTTGCCCCCCCCCCCACCTTCTGTATCTCACAAATTAGGAATAGCCAGACTGAGTCTGATCACCGTCCCCGCAGCATCTGAGCCCCTCCCAGTCTAATGTACTTATCCTCACAGCCCCCCTGCGAGGCAGGGCATGGCTATTATCTCCATTGTATAGAGGGGAAACTGAGGTACAGAGAGGCGAAGGGGAAAAATGTGCTAATGCACCCACGTGATTTATTCAGAGTCGATGAGGTTTGGACTCTTTGGTGTCTAGGTCATTTTTGAAAATGGGAGTTAGGTTCCTAAGTCACTTAGGTGCTTTTGAAAATGTGCCACGAAGTGAATTGTGCAAGGAAGCCTGAGGCAGCACAGGGACTTGACCCCACATCTCCTGTGCCCCAGTCTAGCATTTTAACCACTGCACCATCCTTCCTCTCTATAGCCAGCTCACTATCGTGTCTCCTAAGGAGGCCAGTACCAGCTGCTTCAGAGGCAGCTGCAAGCCACCCTTGCGGTGGGCCGCTACGGAATAACCTGCTTGTAAAGGAATTTTCTTCCTGTCACCTTCACTTAGTGGCCGTGTATGCCCTGAAGCAGGAAGGTCTATTTCCCTTCCAATCTTTTCTTCAATCCCACCTAAAGTATCTTTGGAGGCCCTCATTACCAGTATAAAAATCCAATCCTTGTGAATCTGACTGAGCTGTTCACCTTGCTGAAATCTTGTGGCAGTGAGTCCCACAGGCTAGCTGCCCACTGTGTACAAATAAAACCGTTTCCTTTCCACAGTCTTTAACTGGCTGCCTTTTGCTGAAAAACGTCCCTTTGTTCTTGTGTTCTGGGAAGATAACTAGGACTGTCCCAAGTTCTCTTCTCTCCATTGTCTGCTGTTTTACATACTCAATCATATTCCCTCTCACATCGTTTCTGGAAACTAAACCCTCTCCGCCTTTTCAATCTGGATGTTTTCCCATAAGGCCCTCTCTGTTCTGGCAATCTCCTTCTGGAGATAGCGGGGCCAGGATTGAATCCAGTATCCCAGGAAGAGACCTACCATTGCTATAGCTATTACTATTTGGATTGCAGTCCCAGGATCTCAAATCGAGATACACCGGGTGCTATAGCAGTGAGTCAGTGCTGACTAGGCTAAAGCAACTCTCCTAGGGTCATGGTGGTGCAGACACTGAGTCAGGGCGGGATGTCTTTGTACAAGATACACGCTTGCCCAGCCAGAAGGTCTGGGCTGGATGCAGAAGTTACTGGGTGAGGTTCTGTGGCCGGTGGTATGTAGTAGATCAGACTAGATGATCGTATTATTTAGATGGAATGACAATTTTAATTGCCTCCCCCCCCCAAAAAATCTATTCTGATTCCAAAAGGTGCTAGTGTGTCTCTTACAATCCTAATGGCTCAGACCCGTCATGTTGATTTAATGTGTTTGCAGGAATGGCTGGGACATCGCTGCCATTCCCAGCTAGCGTGGAGGTAAATTAGCTTTGAAAAGGCTGTACACATCCCTCTCCAAGGCCTTTGAGTGCCTTTTAGTGCAAATTGCTTGTGCATTTCTCGGTGAGGTTGTTTTCTTTCCTCCCTGGGGCCATATGCTGCTGTTTTGCATGTTCGCTGGATAACATGCAGCTCTTAACTCTACTCCATAAATGCACTATCCCAGCCTTGCTTATCTAAAGTGCTTGGCCAGCCAGGTTTCAAACCCGGCGCTGAGTGTGTCTGCCTGTTCTCTTGACGGTAACTGGGAAACAGATGCTGCCTCTTAGCACCTGCGGGGAATGGCAAATTGCTTTTAGGGAACTGGTGCAAATCTGCCTTGTTTGCTGTCTGACAAGGAGGGCTTCTTGGCTGCTCACTTTTCACTGGCACGTTTCAGCACTGTAGCAAAAGGGCCAGTGTAGATATTGGAGCGTCAGAGCTCGCTCAGAGAGGCCATAAGCGTCTCAGCCAGCCCTTCACCCCACGTGCACGTTGAACCTCAAACATCTTGGGCCTGATTCTCCATTTGCCCTGCACTTCATACAGTCACGTACGCCGCTGTAAAATGCTGGCAGGTCAGCGTAGTTGCACTGTTGTAAATGACTTCGTGGCAAACAGAGAATCGCGCCCCTCAGTTTTAAACTCCCTTCTTCATCCCTTTCCGTTTCCCTTGCATCTGAACTTCTGGCTGCAACCAGAAGAGCCACGGGCACTGGTCTAAAGTGGAGTTACACAAGAGTAAACGTGGTGTGAATGGAGAATCTGGCCCAGAGCTTGTTCTTGCAGTTCTCTTTGCACGTGCCTCCCCCTCTCAATCCCCCCCCCCCCCATGTTTCAGAACCAAAGAGAATCAATAGCAGCTGGAGTTTCGATTGCCTCTCTGACGAGCCAGTGATGGGCCTGCTGTGTTAGGAGCACGCCGTGCTGAGATCTGGCTGCCTGTGTTTTGTTATAGGCTGCCAGAAACCTTCCCTTTCGCGCCGTGAACCCCAGATGTTTATCTCCCTTTCAATACACAGAGCAGCCCTTTCGCAGCATGCTGACCTCCGGCGAGCACAGTGCAAAGCAGTCGCCAGTGGTACTGACATTGCCTTCCTCCCAAGGGCCTCCGAGCCGTTTGCACGCAGCAGGCCTCATGCCCTCTCTGTGCCTTATTTTACAGGCACAAAGTTTCAGAGCTAGGAATGGGCCCCAGGAGTCCTGATATCCAGTTCCCTGGTCTGAGCATGAGCGCATCCTCCTCCCCCCCGCCCCGCTCACCCTACGGACTCCTCTCCTGTCCCGGCAGAGCAGACGTCCTGCTCAGCTACTTCATTTAATGCGAGGAGGAGAGTGGGGCAGGCGCTGGCTACGTGCTTGGGTAGGACACATGCTCTGGGGGGCCGGGAACGATCAGGTTCAAGTGTGGTGCTGGATTGCTTAGCAGATGAACTTGGGAGCCTCAGGTCCTTAAGCCAGCAAAGGGTCCAGATGAGCAAGCCTTACTGGGCCAGGCAGGGAGGAGCTGGGCGGGAAGACCCTGCCATGTCAGACCCCCACCCCGTGCCGCTCCCAGCTCAGCCTGCCCACGGGGGAGACGGCCTGTATTTTCTTTCTGCGTTAGCACATGGGAGTGAGTCTTTTTCCCGTGCCAGCGGCATTGGGCCTGCTCTGCTGGGATTCAAAGCCTCCTGTCTCTTGGCAGGAACATGTCCAGCGCAGGCAGGAAGTCCACGTGGTGCTGGGGAATGAAGCCTGCGATCTGGACTCCACGGTGTCGGCGCTTGCCCTGGCTTATTACTTGGCAAAGGTGAGTGCTGCCCTGCGACTTGGCTCCGCTTTGGTGCTCTGCTTTGGCTGGGGTGGATTTAACAAGGATGGGGGAGGGAAGGGGATGTGGGGAAATGGGCTGGCGACCACATAGCACTAAGACCAACACACGCTAGAGCTGCTGTGTGATGCCTGGACCCACCCTGGGCCGTGCTCTCCGTAGCCAAGGCCTGCTGCTAACCGTCCCTGTGATTTGCTGCGTTCTCCTGCAGACCTCTCTGGAGTCCAAGGCGGCATTTGTCCCCGTGCTGAACATCCCCCGCTCAGAGTTCCCCTTGCGCACAGAGAGCGCCTTCCTCCTGCAGGAGCAGCAGATCCCCGACAGCTGCCTGATCTTCCGGGATGAGATCGACCTGCATACGCTGCACCGGGCTGGCCTCCTCTCCTTGACGCTGGTCGACCATCACATCCTGCCGAGGCAAGTGGAGAGGCAGTGCAGGGGATTTAGGAGGGGTGTGTGTGTGTGTGTGTGTGTGTGTGTCAAATTCTGGCTCTGCCACCGACCTACTGGGTGACCTTGGGCAAGTCATTTCCCCTCTCCGTGCCTCAGTGTCCCCATCTGTAAAATGAGGCTAAGGACACTGAACCACCTTTGTAAAGTGCTTTGAGATCTACGGATAGAACGCGCAATACGACAGCTCAGTGTTATCTTTAAATCCCTGGTGAGGGGGAAAGTGGGGGCTCCAGGCAGGATGGAGTGGGGAGTAAATGATGGGCGAATGAAGACATTATTATTTGTATTGTGGTAGAATCCTGGCCCAGGACCCTGTTGTGCTAGGCACTGTACAAACACAGAACAGAAGGACGGCCTCTGCCCCAGTGAGCTTGCAATCGAAGTAGATGAAATTGCTTAGTCTTATAAACAGAGGGACTGTCTTGTCCATGGAGTGGATGGCATCCTTGCTGGATTATGCAAGATAGGTGCACAAGGGCAGGTGGGAGCCCCTAGAGGAGCAAGTGACTCGCTTTAAAATATTCCTAATCTTGCTGTTGGCTCACGTCTCATGGGCACTGGGGAAGAGACGGGTCTTTCCCAGGGACAGCTCTCTGCACACGGAGGTCAGCATGGGACAAGGCACAGAGGGCTTGGGCAGGGTGGACTGTTACCCACCAGAGCGGATCTGACGTCCAGACAAGTTCATGAACCCTTCAGCTTCCTTGGGAGGAGCCGGGAGAGTTCTGGTGGCTGGAAGGGGCCTATAGACAGGAGCTACGGCTTCCCCACAGCTGCTCTGCATCCCTGGGTGCTCTGGGAGGGTTTTGCTAAAGGGGATGAGCTGTAAAATCTCTGATATGAGCAGGCAGGTTTGCACAGCGTTCCCCTGCAGCGCTGGGAATCCAAACACGATGGCGTTCCCCCTTCGTCTTCTACATGCGTGTCTACCATCCTTTCCTGTGCCCGCCTTGCCACCACCCCACCCCATTCCTACACCACCCTCACCCCTGCCCACGCTCTGGGTATTGTCTCCCCCTCTACACGACTACCCCAACCTCACCCCCCCCAGTTGCCATACCATCCTTTCCCTTTTTAGGGGCTGAAGACCCCCTCCCCTCGCTGCAGCACCGCCTTCAGCCCAGCTCCTTTGCAGGTGCATGTCAATATATCTTCAGTGTAGAGGAAATAAGTTTTCCCCCCCCACACACATCCGCCTTTTTGGTTCGGGGGGCAGGAAAAGAGCCCGAGAGTGGAGGAATTTTTGGTCCATCCCCAGGGTGATGCGATAAATACACAATAACGCCCACCAGGGTGCGCCATAACGCCCTTGGATGCTCTGGGGTGGATGGTGACGCCAAAAGGACAGGATCCATCCCTGGGGTGACTCCATTGACCCTAAGTCCCTCGTTTTGGGGCGGGGGTGGGGGGAGAAATGCCAGAGAGAAACGCCTGGGGACGAAACCAGGGCCTTTCCCGGCCTGCACGCACCTCTCCAGAGAGGGGTGCTCTCACTTCCCCGTCTCGCCCGCCCAGCGGAGACGCAGCCCTGGAGGAGGCCGTGATCGAGGTGATCGACCATCGGCCCCTTGGAGAGGGCGCCTCGGTGCCGGGTCACCGCGGAGCTGGTGGGCTCCTGCGCCACGCTGGTGACGGAGAGGATCGTGCAGGGCCCAGCGGAGCTGTTGGACAGACAGACGGCCGCCCTGCTGCGTGGTGAGAGCAGAGCTCGCCGGCTTTGATGCTCAGGGAGGGGTGTAGCGTTCTGGGGCGGAGACCCACAGCCGCAAATATCAGGCCCGTGCCCCAGGCTGTATCCTGCTGGCTGCAAAACCGACCCCTAAGCAGTAGCGTGCTCAGCATGGCTGCATCTTCACTGACCCAGGAAGCGGCAAAGCCTGGACTTCTGCAAGGCCCGTTTTCTGCAGCGTGGCTTTGCCTAGGGGAGATATTCCAAAGCACCTGTCTAGACCCAGCGGCTCTAACTCCCCAGCTCATATCTGAGACTGCAACAACTGTGTCTGGTCTCTGTTTTCCTCGTGGCTTGGCTCACAGCACACTGTGTTTCTGTGTCAACTGCTGCTCTCTTTGCTTTAAAGGTACCATAATTCTGGATTGTGTCAATATGACTCCAGAAGCTGGGAAAGTGACTCCCAAAGACACTCAGTACGTGGCCCTGTTGGAATCCAAGTTCCCAGACCTCCCGGCGAGGAGCGTCCTGTTTGAGGCTCTGCAGACAGCCAAGTTCGATGTGTCAGGTACCGGCTTTTCACAGATTGATGGGGGATCAAATGGGACGGATGGGAAGGGCAGGGACTGCATGGAGCTTAGATAGTTGGAGGCGCTAAATCAGACGAGTATCTGAATTCATCTGAAAACAGTCCAAGAATCCACCTAGCAGCGTGGTCAGAGGGTTGTGTGTGCGAGCGCTGTCTGAGTCTTTTGGAGCAGCAAAACACAAAGCTCCCTGGAAGTGATCCGAGCTCCCGCTGGGAACGAAAGTCCCTCTTCACTCACGCTTGCCCCTCTCGTTTTTCTAGGGCTCACTACAGACCAGATGCTGCGAAAGGACCTTAAGGTGCTGTCGAGTGATGGGCTCGTTCTTGCCATCAGTGCTGTGTACGTGACGCTGGAGGTAAGGATCAGTACAACGTGGGGATACCGAGGCGCGGGGAAGTGAAGTGACTTGCCCTGGACCACGGAGGGAGTCGGTGGCGGAGCTGGGAATAGAGCCCAGGAGTGAAAGCAGCTTTCTCCCGCTGGGTATCTGTGCCTTTTGCCATTTAAATGTTACCCTGTGCAAGTGGGAAGAAGCTGATCCTAGGATTGGGAGCTAGGACTCCTGGGTTCTCTCCCTAGCTCTGCCAGTGAAGTGGGGATAATGCTGCCCATCTACCTTGCAAGGCAGTGGAGGGTTTTCTCTCTCTCTGTGGTACTTATCAGTGTAGTATCTGAGCACCTCCCCCCACAACCCGCCTCTGAGGCAGAGCAATGTTGTTATCCCCATAATACAGGTGGGGAACTGAGTCACAGAGAGGGAACTTGCCCAAGGTCACCCAGCAGGCCAGTGGCGGAGCTGGGAATAGAACCCAGGTCTCCTGCCTCCCAGTCTGTTGCTCTATCCACTAGACCCCACTGCTGCCAAATAAGCATCCCTTCTCCAAGGAGCCTGCAGTCTGAACAGTTTAAACATAACAGGTGCATGAGACAAGTGGGTGGTGCTGGGGGCGGGGGTAGTAAGATGGGCAGGAGCTGGCAGCGTTGCCCGCCGTCCTGTCCCATCGCGTGCCTGTGCGTTCCGGACTCTGACGCCGATCGCTGTCCTTGTCTAGGCCTTCCTGCAGCGGCCGGGCTTGCAGCAGGACCTGTGCGCCTTCTGCCAGCGGCACGGCTACGGCGGGTTGGTAGCCATGACGATCTCCTTCAACGAGCGGAACGAGCCATTCCGGCAGCTCGCGGTGTACAGCCAGCATGCGGCGGTGCGGACAGCGGTGAGCATAGTCGGGGCATGCCGCCTGCCTGCCTGGGGTCTGCCCTCACATTCTCAAGGGATATTCCAGAGCCCTGCACCCTCCCTCAGTGGCCAGTCCCGGCAGCCCATGCATATAACAAACTGAGGGCACTGTGATTCCTGCAAGCGCTAAATCCCCTGCTTGCACCCTGATTCTGCCCGGCATTTAAACAGGTGCTTAACTTCAGTCACATAGAATCGTAGGACTGGAAGGGACCTCGAGAGGTATCTAGTCCAGTCCCCTGCACTGGTGGCAGGACTGAGTATTCTCTAGACCATCCCTGGCAGGGGTTTGTCCAACCTGCTCTTAAAAATCTCCAATGATGGAGATTCCACCACCTCCCTAGGCAATTTATTCCAGTGCTTAGCCACCCTGACAATTAGGAAGTTTTTCCTCATGTCCAACCTAAACTGCCCTTGCTGCAATTTAAGCCCATTGCTTCTTGTCCTATCCTCAGAGGTTAACGAGAACAATATTTCTCCCTCCTCCTTGTAACAACCTTCTATGTACTTGGAAACTGCTATCTTGGCCCCCCCCAGTCTTCTCTTCTCCAGACTAAACAAACCCAATTTTTTCAGTCTTCCCTCCTAGGTCATGTTTTCTAGACATGTATGACTTAGGTTCTGACGCAGCAAAGCACTTATCTGACTTGTTCTCATAGTGGCCCATTGCTCTAGTCTGGCCGTCGCTTGACCCCTGATAATCCCTGCCCCCAAAGCTGCCCCTCCCTGCCGCCCCCACCTTGGGAACCTCCTAGAAATGGAGCGAGGGGAGGAATGGGACCTTGGTTAGTTGCTTCTGCAAAGAGCCCAGAGCAGAAACGGATTTGCTCCTGCAAATGGGGCAGAACGTGATGGGGTTTGGGAGCCAAAGCTTGGGAGCTGCGGGTTTTGTTTGTCCAACATAAAAAACAAGGGAGCTGCCTGTAGGAAGAGCCCCCGCTGGGTATCAGACTCTCTGGATGCCCCTGGCCTTGTGAATTCCCAGATCAGCCCATGTCTCCCAGATCAGCATGCTGGGCTGTAGCAGGACCAGCACTCTCTTTACCCTGCCAAAAAAGCATTGGTGACCTGTTCAGCGCCTGCCCAGTTGAGATGCTTCTGAATGGAGTCCAGATGCAAGACAGCGTTCGCTCTTACAGCGATAGGCACTACAGAAATCTCACAGGGGACTGGCGTTTCCAGCACGCTGCTTTCCCAGAGGTTCTTCCCTTGATTAGGCCGGCCCCTTCCTCTTTGCGGCAGTGGTGGGTGGCTGGCTGGGAGAGGATTTACAGGGTTGTGGCACCCCCCCGGTGGGTTACCTCCTGCAGCCTCGGCCCCCGGCTCTGCAGAGCGCTGGAGTCCTGTGGGAGTCAGTGCCTTATGAAACACCCACCCAAGTGCTTTGCTGAATCGGGGCCCAGGTGCTTGAGCTGTTCCAGCACCTTCCACGGCTGTCTGGTTCCAAGCACCGTCCGCCCTGAAACCTGCTCGCTTGCCTGATGTGCCGAGCTCCCAGCCGAGCCACTCTCCACCCAAGTGGAAGCAAAACCGCTTGAGAGCCCTGCTCCCCTCCCCCCGCCACCTCGGTGGGTGTTGCTAGGTCCCCGCAAATCCCCCTCCCCCAACCCCTCAAGGCTCAGCACTATAGGCCCCCCCCCATCCCCTGCCCATCAGAGCTTGTTCATGCCGTGGTCGCTCCCGTAGCCGGCGGGGTAGCTGCTGAGCTGTGCCAGCGTCGGCGTTCACCCTTCGGCTCCAAGGCCACCCCCAACGCAGCAGCCCACGTGCCTGCAGAGTTTGCTTCAGTGCTTCCCAGAGCCTGGCGAGAACATACCATGAGAGTGAGGGGGAGGCCGTGTTTACTCCCCCCATCCCCAGCTGTGCAGCAACGGCTCCCCCCCCCCCCATCCCTTGCCATCGCTCGTCGCTCATTAACTGTGGTCAAAGGTTTAAAGCCGTGGGAGGGATCACGGGCTAATCGCCCGGGTGGGTCAGAGATCACGGCAGCCGAGGGAACCGAGAGGGAGACGGCAGCCTTAGAGATGGGAGGTAAGAGGCTCCTTTTTCCATCCCTGCAACCGGCTCTGCTCCAAAGGGAAATGCCCTCCGTGTGATCCTGCCCTGACGTGCACCCTTGGCGTCTCCCGAACCTGGTGCTTTGCTCCGGAGGCTGAATCCAGAGGCTGGACTTGGCAGATACAAGCTGAATGTCGATCATTGGAACCCAGCCTGTCCGTCCCCCTCTCCCCCGCCCGCCCCCACATCTACCCTCCCAGCCGGTGTCCACTGATTTTACTT